CATTGTAATCGCTTGGTCCAGTGGAGCTCAACCTTTTAGATTGGTGGGCCAGGTGCTGGCAAGCTAGCTGCATCACAAGCTGGGTGATGATCCCCTCCAGCAGGGAGGGACGGGGAGAGAAGGGTAAGGGAGGTAGCTTCCCACGTTAGAGGGAGGGGGGCAAGAGGGAGGGGAAGAGAGCTGCAAAGGGAATCAGCAGCATGGTGCAGGGCAGGGAAGGGGATGTGCTAAGCCAAACTGCTTGTTGTTGATCCCCTGTGCTGTGAGCCCGTTCCAGTCACTTTGGGAGCTGGATCCAGTGCGAGAGTCATAGGTTGAGCACCACGGATCTAATCTGATATCTTATGTAACACAGATCATAGAATTTCATACAAGAACTGTGAGCAGTGGTTTGAAAACAAAGAAGAGATGTGCCATTTTCAACAAGGAATACACTATTAATGAGCTGAGGTTTTACTCTGATGAATCCGATGACCATTTTAATTCAACCCTTGTTTTATTACAATGACGTGCAAAACTGGCACAAATGTTGTCCTGTTTCTGCTACTATACCACATGAAATAAAAACCAGGGGCTAGATTCAGACTGTTTTGAGGGCTAGAGTTCCCACCTCAGAACTGAATCAGTCACTCAGATCATTGTTCTCAACTTGCTGTGCTTTCTTTAGTCAGATGCTCATCTGGTGGAAGCAAATTAAACTCTACAGAAGCCTGTGCTGTTGCTTATATGTTGTCAGAATCTCTCCCTGCCCCTCCCCCCCCCAGATACATACTTATGACCTAACCATATAGGAGAAAAAAATAAGCATTTGGGCTTTGTAGTAAGAAATGTGCTCAGTTGTACCACAGACATAAATAAGGATGCCTATCTAGCTGCCCCAAAGGGAAGAATATGTAATGAATTCAGAGCCCACCCTTGCTGAAACCACCAATTTAAGATTCAGCCCTTAAACATGCCTCTACCAATAAAACACTTAAACTAGAGATCCTGGGTGATCTTAGTTCTTCCCACTGACTTCAGTAGGAAGAGGGCTAGACCTGAGTAAACAATTTTAGCAAGTAATTTATTCCCAGGAAAATACAGCTTGGGGGCAAGCATAACTACTGTGCTTGCAAACTTGGGTCAAGTTGGTGACTAGTTTAGCCAAAATGTATTTCTTACATAAAATGAGTACTTTTGTACAGATGAAGTGACATTATGCTGATGAATGAAATTTCGTTAGTCTATAAGGCTGTGTTTAGATGAGTGTGGATGTGCAGTACTCTAAGCTGCTACTTTGTAGCACCAGGACTTTTCTTGCCCCTGGGAGATCCCAGGGTCAAAAAAACCCACACCAAAAAAAAAAAAAAAGTGGGATGGTACATGTGGTGGTAAGCGCATGTTGTCCAAAACCACAGCCTGGCCAGCCAGAGCCATGCTCCAGCAAGCCAGAGCCATGGCTTCAGCTGCTGGCCAGGCTTCCTGATGTGGCTGCAGCCCTGGGAGGCCCCCAGGACCCCTATTGCAATGAATATTCAATGATATGTATTTATTTACCTGTATATGTGCAGGGTGGAACAGCTTCACCAAAGGAGGCAGAGAGACAGCCTCCCTCTTAGAATAGCCAGTTATAACCTAGTGCATACTTGAGAGTTGGAAGACCCACATGTAAATCTGTGCCATGGACTAGAAAGAGAAAGGTTTTGAACCCAAGTCCCCCATATCCTAACTGAATGCCCCAACATCTCTACTATAAGGTGGGGAGGGGGATACTGGTTATGGTAATGTCATCAACTTGTTTCTGCAAATAGTGCCTAAGTCCCCATGGGAATCAAGTCTTTGTTTCCAAATTTCCTTTGCTTTTATGTAAAAAAGCCCCAAGTGAAACTGAAATACTTCATTTCCAAGCGAAGAGGCCATTTCTGTTTGACCTAAACATTTTTTGCAATGCATACATGCACACACACACGTATGCTCAGACACTGAACTCATAAAGAAATTACCTATAAGCAGGACTGGGAAAATAACACTTTACTGCAAAGGGGGAGCTTTTGGTTCTAAGAATACCTCATATGCTTCCCAGTAATTTTTCTGGAGATGTAAAGGAGCAATACCTGAATTTTGTAACTAAAGACCATACACAGCAGGATATCTCCATAACATAGTATATAAGTACTTCACAGGCAACAAGGGTAGAGCCATTGGGTCAAATTCTGCCTATGGATAAGCACCCACAAATGTCAGAGCTGTACTTAAATGCAGATTTAGACACCTTATAAATGGCCTGATTATCTGAGCTCCTGCAACTCTGCTAAGCACCTCTGCATCAGCTGACCTATCTGAATCCCCAATACATGGCTGCAGGGGACTAATTTTAGACACCCACATTTGAAATGTTAGTCTGCGTGTGTTTGTTGCAGAGTTGGATTCATCCTGAGATGAAGGAACTGATTTCCTAAACTAACTCTGATAGCACTGTAACCAAACACCAAAAGCTTGCACGAAGACCTAAGAATTATATTGACCTCAGCACGTAGCTCTTCCACAGGCTGTATACCTACCTGAGTCCCACTTATGCCCTGTATCAGGGTCTCATGTGATGGAAAGAGCCTCTACTTCAGATAAATATCACAGCAAGTGCCAGCAAAAATCTTATTTCTTCAGGCATTTATACCAGACTCTTCAGTGCAGTCAGTGCCCAGCTATCTATTCCAGCTTTATGATATGGAAGCTTTAAAGTTCCAGAAAGTGTGTTAAATAAATCAAGTTGGATTCTTCCTCAAAGCCCCTGCAATTTAGTGGGAGCTCTGTGCAGTGGACATCCAGAATTGTGTCCCTTCTATTACATTTCTCTAGACTTACCAGAATGGTCAGTGTCTCCTACCAATACATGAGAGAGAAAGGTGTTGATCTCACTTTTAAGGCAGGGAAAACTAGAACAACTAAAATGTAGGAGTCACCTTAATTTCAGCAAAGGGTTAACAGGGTGACCTGTTATCTTAGCAAGGTTTTTCAAACAACACATTAAGAACAAGTGTGAACCCTTTCCAAACACTGGACCACTAAATGAGACATTTTTAATCCCTCTGATTTATTCTATACTTTATGCAAAATACCATGAGCTGAGTGATCCAGCATACTTCACATTACAGGTCTGTTGTTCTTCTAACACTATAGACTCTATGTAATAATGGTAGCCACTTCAATTTTTTTAAAAAAGAAGGCTGATGGATATTT